CTATTAAGTTTGTTGGCATTAGCTAACAGTTACAATGCATTTTGACCTCAACATATAAAATTATAGAACATATTTTATATCTTTCTTAATAAAATGCACAGCTTATGGGATAGTCAATGAGAGAGTAAGACTTTGATAAACATGAAATCTCCACTAATTAAAGACATTCTATTTAAGGGAAGACGAGAGGCGCTTTCACTTTACCCAAAGGAGCTCGTAATATTTCTCTTGCTGAAACAAGAGAAGCTAAAAATGTACTGGGTAAGTTGTAGCAAACTGCAGAAAGATGGGCATCCATAAATGGCATCAAGCTGTTTTCCTATACTTGGCATCTTAAACTTGTTACTTCTAGCCATTGCATACTCAGGCAAACATGGTACATTTCATGTGTTGGACTTTATCCCAGGCAAAAGTACTGCAAACCCTGATCCTAAAATGACTACTCTGTGTAGCTAGAACACTAATAAATAGTGTGAAAAAGTTGGGTAAACCTACCCATAGGTACATGTTATTGTACCTATGCAAATCACAAAAAACACATTTTTTTCTGATCCCATCAAACATTGTGTATTGATAACTGATTTTCTGTCAATATTCATCTCTAGAATATGAATTGGATATTTCATAATGTACTATAGGCTCAGGCTGCATAATTTTTCTATGTTGTTATTTTTTATGGTAATGAGATACATCATGTTCTCTCTATTTGACCTATTGTTGATTTATAGTTTTAGCCTGAATTCTAAGTAATTTTTAAGACATATGACAGCCGGGCTTGGTGGCTCAGCCTGTAATCCCGCGCCTTTGGGAGGCTGAGGTGAGTGGATTGCCTGGGCCCGCGGTTTCGAGACCCGCCTGGGCAGCGAGACCTCATCTCTACAATAAATCAAAAAATCAGCAGGGTGTGGTAGCGCATGCCTGTAATTCCGGCTACTTGGAAGACTGAGGCGGAAGGATCGCCGGAGCCCAGCAGGTCTAGGCTGCGGTGGCCAGGAGTGGCCACTGCACTCCAGTCTGGGCGACAGAGTGAGACTCCAACTCAAAAAAAAAAAGACATATGACAATATTAAGAAGAATTGTGGTATAAGACATTTATAGTAATAAGAATGATATCTGATTTTAAAACTCAAAGTAACCAATTCAGCATCTTGATTTTATTATTTCTGGCTTAAAATGTTTTGAGGTAGCTGGGCTCGGTGGCTCAGCCTGTAATCTCGTGCTTTGGGAGGCCGAGGTGAGTGAATTTCCTGAGCGCAGGGGTTCGAGACCCACCTGGGCAACTTGGTGAGACCTCATCTCTACAATAAATTTTTAAAAAATGAGCTGGGCATGGTAGCACATGCCTGTAGTTCCAGCTACTTGGAAGGCTGAGGCGGAAGGATTGCCAGAGCCCAGCAGGTGGAGGCTGCAGTGGCCAGGAGCGTCCACTGCACTCCAGTCTGGGTGACAGAGTGAGACTCCAACTCAAAAAAAACCCAAATGTTTTGAGGCGAGGGTGCCCATAAAAGCAATTCATGACACGACTTGCACAAATTTTCAACCAAATAATTTGGTCAAATCTACAACAATAATTTTAAAATAGTCCCATCATAAAACTTGTTTAAAGATTTAAAGTGAAGACTGATCACAATAAAAATGAAAACACTCTTTTTTTTCTTTATAATTTCTTAAGAATAAAATAAGGTTTTTAAGTATGAAAATGTTTCAATCATGAGAAGTTGAGCTATCTACCTGCCACTTAGGCTTTAAAACAAAATAGCATAAGATAAAATAACTCAAGAATTACACTGCCTAAGTGAACTTTCACTAAAAGTTGGCCCCATTTCACCAAGGTGGTTTAGAAAACTAGGGTCACAGAGAGGGACACAGAAAAGTATAGTATTTGCCTGAATTGATGTTGACTCCATTTGTAGATCAACACAAATAAGTGACTAATAAGTTGGTAACAAGATTAACTTTTGTATTCCTTTAATTAAAAAAATTTTCTTCTAATCTTATACTGGATGCCACAAAAGCTACCAATGCTTTAAAAGTTAATTTCTGAAACTGCTTCTTTAAATTTATGGATGCAGTCTTCTGCATGCAGGAGCAGTAAGAAGGTAGCGCTCGACTAACCATGGTTGTTGCTTTTGTTTTCTTTGCTTCCTACAATCTTTACTACACATGCAAAGGGTACCTTAAGATGTTTGATATACCCCCTGGGGCTAGACATGTGTTAATCCAAGAAGACGAGGCTTCTCCTCATATTCTTGGTAAGTGTTTCTGTCTGCTTGCTCTGCTTTAATATGCACTCAGACATTGATATGTCAAAGAAGTCATATATATATATATGAGTGTATGTATATATATGTATGTATGTTAAGAATCAAAATCTATGTAAATGCATTCATTGAATATTATATGATTTATGTTGGTCATTTCTCCCAACTATTTTTACTTTAAAACAAGAAATACCCAAATAATTTTGGGTAGAAATTGGGGTTAGGTCATAATTACATGAAGGAAAATCATTTGATATGTTTGTATTTGTTGTGCATTTTTTGCTCTGTAATAGGAAATAAGAAAAATAAATATGTTAATAAATACACTTAATTAAGAAATATAAGAAACATTTGTCATATTTATTTTTTCAAATGAGTTCTGATATTTTGATTGATATCATACTGTATGCATTCCCTTATTTTTATTGCATTTTATGTTATTTGACTGAAAAGTAACCACAGGTGAATTTTACTTACCCTAATCTTAATTTTTTCTAGTATCTGACATGTGTCAGGATTTTGAATGGCACATGTAGATCTATTTGCATAGCTGATGATAATTTCTAAAGGAGGAATTATTTTCTTCCTTATTTTCTTTAGGAAAGGATTACGTAAAAATGTCACTTTAGGGAATTTTATATTGAAAGTATATGTACCAGTGTAAGCATAGCTTTCACATATTTCTTGGCCTATAAAAGCACTAAGAAGATTTCTGAAACTAAGGTATCATCAATCAACCCCTGGAAAATCTGTAGTAAACTGCTTTCTTGTGTGACTTAAAAAAAAAAAAAGAATTAAAGTGTTTCATAGGGTTTTTTTAAACATTTAAATTATATTTACTGCTAGATACTATTACAGTCTAGCAGTCAGCTATAGTTCCATCACCAGTATTTTAATTTTTTTATTCTTTATTCTAAAATTCAGTTTATTATCCTTGGAAAAATTAGACTAGTTTAAAAACTCAAGAAGAATAAATGTATTTAATTAAAATTACTTATGTTTTCCATACATTTTCAATAATGTTAGTAACCTATGAAATTTTGTTTTCTAACTTACCATTATATACTGATAAACACCTCCAACATTTAAAATCCCCCTTTATTAATTTTACTCACTAAAGAAGTACTTTATTTCATAATATATAGTATATAATATATTAAGAATTCTATCAGCAGTAGGCAGCTTTTAAAAAATTATATAAGTAATTGATATGGCTTTGAAATTTTATAATCATAAGAATAAAATTATTGGCCTGAAAAAATACTTCAACTGTGTTGGGTAGCTGTAAATATTTTGACCAACTTTAAAGAAATACACATAAAGAAGCCATTACATGCTATCCTAGCACAAATTGTTTGTCTTAATTACTGGAGAAGTATCTATCACTTTCAAAATGTTTCCAGTTTTCTGAGGAAGTTTACAGGATGCACGAGTTAAAACTGTTAACCTCTTTGACAATGTTTTCAAATGGGAATATTTGCAAACATTATTTTCTCCTACTTAACCATCTTGCCATTGTTTTTGACAAGTTAGGGATGCTTCTTAAAAGTTTTGAATGCCTAATGAAGAAAATAGGAGGAATAGCAGCGCTAACCCTCCTTTTGATTGCTTGATGCTAATAAAGGAACGTGGTCACTGATATATAGAAAGTAATAGACTTGCTATGGATCATCAACACTACTGTATGATCAAATAAGATGTATACTGGTTACTCATTTTTCTTCCTCTAGCTATTAAGAACCAAGCAACAGGACACTATATTTTAAATGGCAAAGGGGAGGAAGCCAAGTCACGGACCTTCATCGATCTTGGTGTGGAGTGGGATTATAACATTGAAGATGACGTTGAAACTCTTCACACTGATGGACCCTTACATGATCCTGTTATTGTTTTGGTATGTGGCATTACAGGCTCATGAGTGATAATTATCATGGATGATAATGATCATTTTATAATTAATTTATCTGAAAATGCTTTCACCTTGAACATGTATGTGTTTATTTATTTATTTAATTTTTTTAGTTTGAAGACGTAGGGTACAATTCAGGGTTAGGTATACAAATGTTCATTATGCATGTACCCTTGATGATGAGGTATGCCCCCTTCCCCTGGCAGTTTCCCTCAATTGCCAATCCCACCCCCCCCCCCGAACATTGAATATTTTGTTTCTTTTTTAAATCATTCCATTATTTTACTCTGACTCTTTATGCAACATTGTCGTGTAACTTATTTTATGTACATTTCCAACTGAAGAGTTCATGATGATTTATTTGACTTAAGTAATTAGTTATTTTTTAAAGACAAGAAAAGAAAAAGTATATTTTAATATTTACCCACATGTTTATCATTCCTGATGCTCTTAATCCCACCTTGTAGATCTGACTTCATCTAGTTTCACTTTCCTTTAGTATAAAGACCTTCCTTTAGCATTTCTTGGGATGTGGTCGTACTCGCAAATAATCTCTCTCAGCTTTCAGTTATCTGAACGTATTTTTATTTCACTCTCATTTTTTAAAGGATAACTTTACTAGATATGGACTTTGGGTTGCTAGTTTTGAGTTTCTTTCAGCATTTTAAAGATGTTTTTACCATCTTGTAGGAAGTTTAACGGATTTGAACGAAGAAAAAGATGACCACAAGGTGGCAATAGAACACACAAGCTTGATTTGGGTGAGGCCTTAGCAGGTTTGCAAATGGGGAAGGAAGGACCAAGAGGTGGCCTATGTGCCTAGGTGATGTCATCCAGCAGCACAACAGAGGGAGCGTCGTGGGTGGCAGGACTCCAAGAGCAGCAGCAGAGTGGGCTCCTTATAGCTACAGAGTGGTCTTATACCTAGTAGCTGTTGGATGAAGTTTCTTAGATGTACACAAAGCATGCTTGTGCTGAATGGCTACATCTCTTCTTGTTTGGGACTACTTTGAAAACAACTGGATGCGTAAAAATGTGTTTGGTGTCAGTGGGCTTTTGAGCTAACAGATCTCAGCCTCTGTGAAGAAATAAACTAAGGGCCAATATACAGGAGCCATACTAACTCATCTAATGGTTGTCTTCTAGAATCCATCATGTCTGACAAGAAGCCTCTTTTATATTGCTGCTCTGTGTGTAACGTGTCAGTTTTCCCTGGCTGTTTTGAAAGGTTTTTCTCTTTATCTTTTTGTTTTGTTTAGTGGTTTGTCTATGATATACTTAGTTTGCGGTGTTCTCTGTGTGTCTTATGCTTGGGGTTCATTCAGAATCTTGGCTCTGAAAGTTAATGTTTTTCACCAAATTTGGGTAAATTTTCTCCATAATGTCTTCAAGTTAGTTGTTTCTTTTCCCTCTCATCTCTCTCTTCTTTACTCCCGGAACTCATTTACGTTTTTATGTTAAATTAGTTGAAGTTGTTCCACATGTCTCAGCCTCTTTCCATCTTTATAATCTTTTAAAAAATAAGTTTTTCAAATTGGATAATTTGTATTGTGCTCTGTTTAAGTTCATTGTCTGTTTCTCTTATGTGATCTCCAATCTGTCCCTGAGCATATCCAGTGAATTTTCATATCATGTGGTGTACTTTTCTTCTCTAGAATTTCCATTTGGTTCTTTCTGTGATTTCCATTTTTCGGCTGAAATTTCCATATACATTCACTCATTACGTCTAACTTACCCTTTAAGTTCTGGGTCTTTGTGTTTTCTGTTTCTTTTTTAAAATTAGATCACATTTTCTGCTTCTCACAGTTATTTTCTTGTCCACTGGATATTATGGATGATCAACTGTACAGTGTTAGGTTTTGCTCTAGCAGGCAGTTAAGTGATTGTCAGATCCTCCTGATCCTGTGAGGTCTGGTTTTATCCTTTATTGGGGCTGGTCTGTTTCAGTGTTGTTCTGCTCATTTACATGGCCTTTCTGGTGCCTTAAACTGAATACCCTAAGTGTTAGTGTGGCCTCTCGACTCTGGCTCAATAAGAGCCTGTAGGACTCAGCCCCACCTGGCTTCTGGTATCTCAGTTCCTCCCCAAGCAGACCCTCATACCTAGTGCTTGGTCAGGACATGCCCAGACTAGCCCTCCGTCAAGAACTCATGTAGATTCCGAAGCTACCCCTCTCTGCAGCCCCATCTTCTTTAGTGCCCTTCCCTGTAAGTTCCAAACTCTGATCTCTTGTCTCCTCAGCTCAGGGAGACTGCTAGGCTTGGCTTGGGCTCCTACTTGTTGTGCCAGGGCCCAGACCCTATCAGGAAGCAAGACCTGGTTTGTTTCACTTCTCACAAGGATTATTGTCTTTTACCATGTTATCCATTGCAAAAAAAGAAAGAAAGAAAAAGAAGAGAAAGTTCCCACATATATCCTTCCCAGTTTTATAATTTTTACTATTAGGAAGGCAGGAGAAGAAACCTACTTGATTTGAAATGCATCATTGAATCCTGTTTTTATGTATAATATATATTTGTTGAATTCCCTATTAAAAATTATACTAGTCTAAAGTCACATTTTCCCACCCAATTTTTAAGTCTTTTTTTCTTGAAAATTATTTCTCTTTTGGAGTGTCTGTTTGAATATTTTGCCCATTGTTAATGAAAGTTGGTATTTTTTCTTTTTGCTTTTTGGGAGTTCTTTTTATACTCAATATTAGACCTGTGTGAAATACATAATTTGCAAATGTTTTCTTCTAGTCTGTAGCTTGTCTTCTCCTTTTCTTAGTAGTTTCTTTCATAGAGCAAATATGGTAGTTTTCCTGAAGTCCAATTTGTTAATTTTTTTATAAATTGAGATATTGGTGTTACAAAATAATTTTTTGCCTAATCCAGCATCAAAATATTTTCTCCGACTATTTTTTGGTAAAAGTTTTCTATTTTGCATTTTAGTTTTAGGTTTATTGACCATTTTAAGTTAATCTTGTATAAAATGTTAGGTTCTTATTTCTGCTTATGGATAACAATATTATTAGTTTGCTATGGCAGCCAAACAAATTGCCCCCAAACGCAGGGACTAAACACAAGCAAAATTTATCTCTTATTCCTGTGGATCACGTATCTGGAAACAGTTTAACTGGCTAGTCCTGGCTCGGGTGATCTCATGAGGTTCCTGTCAGCTGTGGCAACAGCCAACTCAAGGTTTGATGGGGGGTGATGCTGTTTCCAAGCTCAGTCACATGGTTATTGAAAGGCCCCTGAAGAGTGTTCACAATCTTTCCCATGTAGTGGTTGGCATTCTTCAGTTCCTCACCACCTGAACTTCTCCATAGGCTGAAGTGTCTTTACAATATGAAACTAACTTACACCAGAGCAAGTGCTTCAAGTGGAAGAGAAAGTGAGACAGTGCAACCAAGACCAGAGTCGATCTTTTTTAACCTAATCTTAGGCATATTTTTGAAACCATCGCAATGTTGAGTTGTTTCAGCACTATTTGTTGAAAAGACTGTCCTTTCTCCATTAAATTGCCTTTTCATTTATGTTAAAAATTAATTGTCCACATCAGGCTCAGTGGCTCACAACTGTAATCTCAGCACTTTGAGAGGCCCAGGTGGGAGAATCTCTTGAACCCGGGAGTTTGAGACCAGCCTGGGCAACATAGCAAGACCTCATCTCTTAAAAGAAAAAAAAAGAGGAAAAAAAATTAATTGTCCACATTTATCTGAGTCTGTTTCTGGACTCTTCTCTTTCATAGGTTAGATGATTCTATAGAAAAATATATGCTAATCAAAATATTATTTAACTTATTTTAAGTGTGAATGACTGAAGGTCAGAGGCTTTACTTCACATAAATTGCCTTCTTCTCCAGCAATGCAGGTATCTGGTTTCCAAGCCTTGTAGCCTAGCCACAATGACAGACTGCCTCAAGTCTTAACCCCTGATTGTGATCTGGCCACAGGGAATGGTGTGGGCTGGAGATAGGAGATTTATAGCTAGGAGAGTGGGGTGTGGACCAGCAGTACTCTATCTTCATGACGTTTATTTTCCTCTCCAAAGAACTGAGAGCCCAGGTTTGGAGCCCCGGAGTATGGTGACTTGCCTGTCTGGGACTGAAAGAATGAGCTATCTGGTCTGAATCCAAGGGCTAGTGCTTGTTTTTTTAATACTGTTTTTAAAAACAAAGACTAAGAGGAAAAAAAGAACAGAATCCAGATGCGCAGGTCCTTCACCTCAATGGGTTTAGTATTATTTTACTTATTAAATAGAGGTTGTACCTAGAAGTTTAGTTTAACATACCAATGAATTGTATGTGTTTCTCCCTTTGTATAATTGGTATAAGCCTATGAAAGCTACATGAAGATTAATTTTTTTTAAAAAACTGCTTTGCCCAAAATAAAATTAAACGACAGATAAAAACTCAGGAAGTATGTGCAATTCTTATTACAAAAAAGAATGAATAACTTTAGTACCCCCATTACTTAGAAGAGAAAAAGACTAGCAGTCATGCAGTATATGGTAGACAAAATATAAGTGAGTAATAAACTTATAAAAGTCAAATTCTACAAATAATGATCTCCTTATCCAATTAATGAAGGTGAAAATTATGTAATATGTGGTGTTGAATGGACACTTTCATTTATGCTCTGTATTGAATCAACAATTGTTCTAACCATTCTGGAGGGCCATTCACCAGTCTATCATATGAACTATAAAAAGTGCTTGTACACTTCATAACCTACTGAGAAAATCAGAAATCCCCACAAAATGAGGGGAACTTCTAATTAATACAAATATTTGTTAATAAGTTAATATAACCATTTACTTATTAACAATAGTAAATAACACCTTTAGGATTAAGACTGCACTGACATTTAAAAGCACGTTTCAAAGAATATTTCCTATCTTAGAAAATGTGCATGACACATTACATGAAATATGCAAGGCAGGAAAAGGATATATGTCTGAACACACACATCTACACCACACACCATGCACTGCATGTGCACACACATACCACACACCCACCACCCACACACACCTCACACATACCACACAACACACACAGCACACCACACGCGCTACACACACACACACACACACACACACACACACACACACATACATCACACACACAATATAAGCATCTTGAGGGACTATTCCAAAATAACAAGAGGAACTGGTTTTCTCTATTTAGGTAGAATTATGGATGATTTTTATTTTTTATACTTTTTATAACATGTATTTTCTGTAGAAAACATTATCATCTTTATCTTCGTAAAGAAAATTTATTCTGAAAAGCAATCTTAAAATGAACTAGGGAGATGGTATAATTTAAGGAAACCTATAGTGACTCTTACAAAATTATTATATTTATAATACAAAGTTTTACTCCTCCATGTATGGGACTTTTAATATTTTTATGTTCAAAGAATGGTATATATTTGCATTTTTTTCTTAAACAAGACATACTTATACTTCAGTTGATATGAATGAAAACATACTTTGAAAAATTGCTTGGAAGTTTTTCAGATTTAATAAGAGCAGTATTCTGAAATATTTGAAATTTTCTGAAATATTTGAAATTTTAAATACTCTCAGGTGATTTACATATCGATTTCATGTGTGTGTTAGATTATACCTCAAGAGAATGATACCCGCTCTAGCCTGACATATAAGTACATCATCCATGAAGACTCTGTACCTACAATCAACAGCAACAATGTCATCCAGGAAGAATTAGATACTTTTGAGTGGGCTTTGAAGAGCTGGTCTCAGTGTTCCAAACCCTGTGGTGGAGGTAACAACAAACAGATTTATTATATTACAATGTAATTCATATAAAAGCCAATCTTGCTTCTACCTTAAGAATTGTCTCTAATTGAGGATACAACCTGAAAAATACCACGCATAACAACCAAAACACAAATATAAGGCACTTTTTACCAAAATCTCAGAATCAGCAAAAGATAGGATTCTATTCATAACAATGATATACCTTACCCTGGGCACGGTGGCTCATGTCTGTAATCCCAGCACTTTGGGAGGTAGAGGTGAGAGGATTTGCCTAAGCTCAGGGGTATGAGACCAACCTGGACAATACGGGGAGACCTTGTCTCACAATAAATTAAAAAAAGTTAGCTGGGTGTGGTGGTGCGCGCCTGTGGTTCCAGCTCCCTGGAAGGCTGAGGCAGAAAGATGGCCTGAGCTCAGCAGGTCGAGGATGCGATGGCCATGAGTGTGCTCCTGCACTTCAGGCTGGTTGACTGAGTGAGACTCTGGTTCAAAATAATAATAATAATAATAGTCCTTAAAATCATCTTGCCCTTTTCTCTTCAGTTCTTTATGTCATGCCTTCACTCTAGTTACTTTAATCACTTTACTCCTCCCAAACTCCAGAATGCTCTCAAATTCCGTGTACTCTGCTTCTCCCCTTTCTTCTCCAATTTTGCTTTCTATATCTATACATTTCCATCAGTGTTAATAATAGAAGAGCTGTTAGTTACGTGACTGTGTAACTGACTTTGCTATGTATTTGGAACCGGAGGCTGTTCTGAATGCTTTCTGTATCCATGCATGAATACTTGCAATGGCCTTTTGATATTGGTACTGCACTTATCGCTCTTGTGCTGGTGGCCAAACTGAAGTACAGAGAAGATAAGCAATTTGTCTGAGATCACTGGGTTCAAACCCAGGTAGCCTGGCTTCTGAGCACGTGCTCTCACTCCCCACAAGATGCTGCCTCTCTGCCCTCTCTAGAGTAAATACACCAAACTGGACTCAGAGTTTCTCAGTTTCTCCCATCATTTCTCCTCTTGTCTGAACAAGTGCTGCAGTAGCAACCTGACCTAGACACAATGATCCCCCATGGGCAAGAGAAGACAAGGGGCTGCCACAAAAATGGCAGTGAATAATTGAGAATGACAACAAAAACAAATGTTCTTAGTAGAGAACCCCTGTGTAAACCATTTATTTTATAATTTTAAGTTCAAGGATACATCTCTAAAGTGTTTTTTTGAAGGTGCATACAATATATTTACTTAATTATTTTAAATGGTACTTCTTTTTTTTTTTTTTTTGAGTTGGGGTCTCACTCTGTCACCCAGACTGGAGTGCAGTGGCCACTCCCGGCCACCGCAGCTTCGACCTGCTGGGCTCCGGCGATCCTTCTGCCTCAGCCTTCCGAGTAGCTGGAATTACAGGCATGCGCTACCATGCCCAGCTGATTTTTGGATTTATTGTAGAGATGAGGTCTCGCTGCCCAGGCAGGTCTCGAACCCGCAGGCTCAGGCAATCCACTCACCTCAGCCTCCCAAAGGTGCGGGATTACAGGCTGAGCCACCGAGCCTGGCTAAATGGTACTTCTTTATCCATTACAAGATGCTTGTCGAATTTGGATTTTCCCTCTGCTGTACTCACATCATCTACTTGGTCACAAGATTTGTGGGCTATATCTCCTCCATAGCTTCCATATCTGTTCTTTCCTCACCAGACTTCCTTCACTATTTTGGAAGGGAAGATGAATTTAACAGCCTTTTAATTAGTCAACTCACCTTGATGTTCTTTTCTTCCTTTATTTCCAGTTTAATCTTTCTTGAAAGAATGCATGCATGCATGAATGAGTAGAATTATGTTATTTCCTTGATTAAAATCCTTCTGTCTCCTAATGTGTTTCCTTGAAGATACAACATCACTTTAGGTAGTATTCTTGCCAAAAGTGAATACTGTAACCTGAGTCTTGTCATTAGGACACAATTAAATAGACCCCAATTGCAGAATATTTTACAAAGCAACTGGCTTATACATTTCAAAATTAGTAAATGCCATGAAAGACAAAAAGAAGTTAAAAAATCATTTTCAATTGATGGAGGCCAAAGAAGCATGACATTTAAATGCAACATATGATCCTTGATTGGAAAAGCATTTCCATAAAGAATGTTATAAAGACAATTGAACGTTTTTGAATATGGTCTGTATATCAGATAACAGCATTATGTTAAATTTCCTGATTGTGGAAATTATATTGCATTATATAAGAGAATGTGCTTGTTATGAAATATGTGCTGAAGCATTTAGAAGTGAAGGGTAGGATGTCTGACACTCTCAAATGGTTCAGCAAAATTATATATATAATATACAAAGAAATATAGCAAGTGTGGTCACGTGGTAATAAAAGATTAATCTAGATACGAGGAATGCAGATTTTCATTGTGCTTTTGTTACAACTTTTTAATAAGTTTGAAATGAAACATATATGGCTAAATTGAATACATACGTCATATATTTTAGATTATCTATACATTATATAGCATTCTATATTCTATAGAATTAATTAATATATGATATATAATAAATAAATATATATGCTATATATATGATGCACTTATAGCTATGAAAGTTGATGGTTGGGTGACTTCCTTCAGTCACTCCCTGAGACTTTCAGGATAACGTCTGAACACTTGTCTGGCCCTGAAGCTTTTCGAAGTCTGAACCTTACCTGTCTCCGGATGTCTTCACATGTGATATTTTATCTATCTGAAGAACTGCCATTTTCCATATGTTATTTTCTTTGTTTGGAAATAATTCTGCTTCATTTCCTTGACCCCACACTATTTGAAGGCAGTACTGAACCTATGAGCTTTCCCTGCCCCTCCTCCAAGTGAGAGGTCTTTCCCTCTGTGTCCTTTGATGCCCTTTACAGAAAATTATTTTCACAACCCTGTAAACACCTATGTCCCTAGATATTGTCACGGTGGTCTTTATATCTCTCTCACACCAGACTGTGTATAGTGTCTAGTATGCAATTAAAAAGTAAATGTAGGCTCTGAAAAGATACGGACTTTAGTTGATTTCATTTTCTTTGGGACCTTCGGCGCATATTGAAGTTTCTGACTTACTGTATACACTCAACATGTAATTTATTGGATGAATGAACGAATGAATGCATACATGAGTGAGTGAATAATAAAATATATAATAATTGATTAAATCCAAAGAAATATATTTCCTTTTCCAGGTTTCCAATACACTAAATATGGGTGTCGTAGGAAAAGTGATAATAAGATGGTCCATCGCAGCTTCTGTGAGGCCAGCAAAAAGCCGAAACCTATTAGACGAATGTGCAATATTCAAGAGTGTACACATCCACTGTAAGCATTTATTTTAACTATCAAATCCTGAGAGCAAAATAATGACTTCAAAGTCTTTAACTTTTTCTAATTTTAATTGTATGTCTTGTCAATACTGCACGTGTACCAGGTTTAAGTAGTCACATCACTTCATAGTAATTATATAAAACTGAAGTTCCTTGCCTTTTACCATAATCCTGGTCCTCCAAAACAACCACTTCCAAATGTTAGGTTTCTTTCAATGTTTGGTAATTAATTGTTTTCATCTCACTAAGTAAAATATTCTTGCTTCTATTCCTTGACTTTTTTGGGGGGGAGGAGTTAGATATTATATATTGAATTTTCCATTTAAAATCTTAGGATTTAACATTATTTTTTGACCCCTCTCCAAATGCACACCCACAGCCCACACTTTTTCTTCCCTACTACTTTCAATATTGCTCTAACGCACCCTTTACTGATGTGAATATTTAGGGTTTATGTATATCTTTTAACACATAGCATACTCTGATTATTATGTTTCCTTTCATGTAAAATTTTGTTTCTTTTAGAATAAATGAATGTCTTGATTTTTATGTTTTTGTTTTCTGCTACTTTTCACTAATTCATTTCCATATTCTCTTCCTGAGTATTAATGGCCTCCAAATACTAAACATCCAAGTATCCTGCCACTTTCATCTTCATAGAGATAGAAAGGTTCTTGAAGAAGAGGGAGAACTCTGTGTTCCAGCTCCATCCTGGACTTTTCACCAGCTTTCATCCTGGGGGTTCTTTTCATCATATTCCTAGGGACTCCCACAACCTCTCTCTTCTATGGTATCTCTTGTTTCCTGGTTTTTGTTGTTGTTGTTGTTGCTGCTGCTGCTGCTGTTTTAGTTTTTTATCTCTTGGTTCATTCATTTATTCATTGTGGTAGGTCTCCTCTTCCAGCAGCTTCATTAAAAAATTACATACAAAGTAAATTTTACATATGAATTAAAATTTTAGACTTCTAAGAAAAGAATATAAGAAAAGTAAAAGCATATGATTATATAAGAAATCTTTCTTCTCTCACTTTTGATCATTTGGACACAAACACATATTTATATACTTCCAAATTATGTATTATCCCTCAGAATCTCAAAAAGTTTGTTTAATTATTTTCTAGACCCCAGTGCTGCTGTTGAAAAGTCAGTTGCCATTCTGATTCTCAGTTCTTTCTACATGATGTGTTTTTGTTTGTTTGTCTTTTAAAGTTTGTAGGATCTTATTTTGTTCCAACTGTCCTGAAAGTTCAGTGATGAAATTGCCGGTGCTCACCTTTACTCATCCATCGTGTTGTGTACTTTTAGACTTGTTTAAATTGAAAAATAATAATTGTGTGTATTTATAGGGTACAATGTGATGTTTTCATATATGCCTATATTATGGAATGATTACATCAAGCTAGTTAACCTATCGTATTATATAATTACCATTCTTTTGTGGCACAAGCATTTAAAATCTACTCTCAGCAATTTTGAAATATGTATTCCGTTATTGTCAACTGCAGTCACCATGCTGCACAACAGATCTCAAAAACATCTTTCTGAAACCACTTCCTGAACTGTGGTGTGCCCCCAAGAGGTTGCAAGTGACTTAGAGAATGGAAAAGTCTTCACAGCATAGGAAGGCTCACACTAACCTTCCAATGATGGTGTTCAATCTTAACCCTCTCTGCCCACAGCTGGGTGGCAGAAGAGTGGGAACACTGCACCAAAACCTGTGGGAGTTCTGGCTATCAGCTTCGCACCGTACGCTGTCTTCAGCCGCTCCACGATGGTACCAACCGCTCTGTGCACAGCAAGTACTGCTCTGGTGACCGTCCCGAGAGCCGCCAGCCCTGTAACAGAGTGCCCTGCCCAGCCCAGTGGAAAACAGGGCCCTGGAATGAGGTGGGTGTGTGAATTCTGTGAGTGCCTGGAAAGTGTACATATAAGCATGTGTAGCATATTTTAATTTGGCTTACACATCAGGTAGACTGTGTGTGAACTGAGAAACTGTTGCATATTATGTAATCACCTGGAGGTGTTAGGAAAAATTAATAGTTTAAAACAGTATGTAGGCTGGGCCTGGTGGTTCACACCTGTCATCCCAGCACTTTGGGAGGCAGAGGCAAGAGGATTGTCTGAGCCCACAGGTTTGAGATCAACCTAGGCAACTCGGCGAGACCTCATTGCTACAATAAATCAAAAAATTAGCCCAGTGGAGTGGCATGTGCCTATAGTTCCAGATACTTGGAAGGCTGAGGTGAAAGGATCACCTAAGCCCAGCAGGTCGAGGCTGCAGTGGTCATGAGCATACCACTGCACTCTAGCCTGGGCGACAGAGTGAGACGCTGACTCAAAAAAAAAAAAAAATACTGCTCTAAATCCCAGTGTGGTTCCAAATGTTTTAGGAGAAAAAGTCTTTTAATAACTACTATATATTCAGGCCAGGTGCGGTGGTTCATGCCTGTCATACCTGTTCTTTGGGAGGTGGAGGTGAGAGGATTGCCTGAGCCCACAGGTTTGAAACCAACCTGTGCAACTTGGCGAGACCTTATTTCTACAATAAATCAAAAAATTAGCCCTGCAAAGTGGCATGTGCCTGTAGTTCCAGCTACTTGGAAGGTGCCTGCTGCCTGACCCCAGCAGGTCAAGGCTGCGGGGGCTGTGAGCATACCCCTGCACTCCAGCCTGGACAACAGAGTGAGACTCTGACTCAAAAACAAAAAGAAACCAAAAACAGTACGTGAATTTATGATGAGTTGGCAAGGGAAACCAGGTTTGGTGGCATAGAGGAGTTTGAAAGGTGTCTGTTCTGTCTAATACCTTTGTTGACCTCCACATTCCTACAGGAGAAATCATAAACCCCTGACACTGAATACTGGGACCTGCTCCACTTGACACTGCCCTAGCTCTTTTTCTTCTGCCTTTCGTCATTCCAACGCTTTGTCCCAGTTTGAGTACACATCTCACTGTTCCAAACAGACCATGCTTGTTCAAGCCTCTTACCTCCTCACTCTTCCATCTAAGAGTCTCTCCCTCATCCACCAAGGCTCTCGATGACCACCTTCTAGGTGGTGTCTTTCCCAACACTTCCTCTTCTGCCTGCAAAAGACACCACAACTCACCTTTGGCATTACTGTTCATGTCAGAGCACTGTGTCTGAGTCTGTACTTGTCACTAGTGCACACATTCCTCAGAACTAGTGTGCTTTGCTCCCCTAATACTTAGCCGGTGCCTGGCATCTGTCACCTGTCCAGGTGACATCTGTTGGGTGACTGGCTGACTCAGTGTTACATTATCTGCATTGTCACTTGTCTTGAGTATTTCTAAAGACTCAAAATAAGGAATCAGGGGACATGGGAGGAAAGGAGGTTATATTAACCACAGTAGCCTATCTGTAAATGTTGCCACCTGTTAGGAAGACGAAGAAGTAGAGATCTCAGTACCATAACTGGCTCCCAGAAAACATGCATTACTACTGTATTTAGGAACCACAGCGGGCATTACCATCATCTGACGATGTTTTCAGACCTCAAAAGGCAGCTTTTCTTTCAGAATATGATATAGAATTTACTTTTGCTTATTGAGAAGTAACCAAAGGAAAACACCTGTAAAATATGATCTCATATGGTTCTTTAAGATCGACATTAGAGTGATGTCCTATACAATATAACTATCACAACCACGGCAGCCCTGATATTTCTCTTAGGTGCTGATGCTGAAGTGACAGCTGTGGTGTGTATACGTAACTCCTGGCAATTTGGGTTTCTAGTGGGGGCTACTTATATTTCAACATAGTGGCTTCTTTCATATAGAATGCCCAGTAGGTGCCAGTTTTTTTGCTGCGGATTTGCATGTCTTGTTTCCTTTGCCTCTGTTTAATTCTCCAACAGTCCTAGAAGGCAGGTATTATTACCCCAGCTTTCCATTAGATAAGGAAGTGGAGGTTCATAGAGAAAAAGCAATGTGTCCAGGCTGGTAAGTAACGGAGTCGGGGTATAAACTCAGTATTGCCTTGTCTTTCTTCAAAACCACTGTGCAGCATCACTTCAACAGAGAAAGAACCCCAGGGCTGTGTCTTTGTGTGTGTTTGTAGAGGTGTGTGTGTGTGTGTGTGTGTGTGTGTGTGTGTGTGTTTGTAGGGATGTTTGTGCATGGTCTTGGTGGAATAAACGTCTGTAACTGCAGCCTTTGTTTCTGCAGTGCTCCGTAACCTGCGGTGAAGGAACAGAGGTGAGACAGGTCCTGTGCAGGGCGGGGGACCACTGCGAAGGCGAAAAGCCTGAGTCGGTCAGAGCCTGTCAGCTGCCTCCCTGTAATGGTAGGTGTGACACTGATGGACTTCACTGCTCTGATAATGTTTTTAAACCTCAAGAAGCAGCTTTCCTTTCAGAATACAGTGTGGAATTTACTTTTGCTTCTTGACAAATAGCCAAAGGAAAACACCCATAAAATATGACCTGATATGGTTCTTTAAGATTGGCATCAGAGGCAATGCCCAATACTACATAACTCTCATAGCCACTGCAGCCCTGATATTTCTCCTAGGTGGCGATGCTGGAGTGGTGTGTATATGTAGCTTCTGGCAATTTGGGTTGCTAGTGAGGGCTACTTCTTTTTTCCTGCCATATTCTTCCACTATAACTTCACATCATTATTCATTTGCAGAAGAGTTTGAAATATTGCACTAAAATTATTCAGTTCAGACATGTCACTCAACTCAAGCTATTTCCAGTAACTATCTGTCCTTATCAAGTGACTTCAAAATAGGCACCTCGCACATATGCTAAAATGTATCATTTGTCTGACCTACCAATTTGCTGTATTGCAAAAGCAAAACATGCTTTCTTTAAACTATAGATCACTTTGCTGTTTTAAAATGAACAAGGTCTGTTGGATGGCTTCAGTCTCTATCACTCTGCCTCTTGCCTTCTCTGTTATTCTCCATTTGCCTCTGACTCTGTTCCTCTCTGTTTTCTCTGTGTCGCCATTTGCCCTCTCCTATCTCTCCTTTATTTTTGGTGTCTGCCTTGCTCTCTGTCTCTGATGCACTGTCTCTGCCGCCTGTATGTTACCTCATGGTTCTGTGTCTGTCATATGTGCTTTCTAGTCCTTCATCTTTCTTTGTGCTTTCCCTTCCTCTCCTGAGTCTCCCTGACTCTACCTCCTGTTATTCTCTTTCCCTGCCATCTTCTCTTTCTTCTCCTGTCACTTCTTGACTCTGTCCTCTTTCCTTCCCTCTCTTTCTCTTCTCCCTCTTTCTCTATTCCATTTTTCTCTTTCTTTTTCTCCCTATTTTCAGTGTCCTTCCTTCACCCTCTTTCTTTCTCTTTCTCTCTCTTCACCCCCTGTCTTTCCCACTCTCTGTCTCTACCTCTTTATCTCTCCCACCTCTCTGTCTCTTCCTGTCTCTTATCTCCCCCATTGTCTTAGTCTATTCCAGCTGCTATAACAAAATACTGAGACTGGGTGTTTATAAAATTCAGAAATGTAGCACTCACAGTTCTGAAGGGAGGGAAGTTCAAGGTCAAGACATCAGCAGATTTGATGTCTGGGGAGGTCTTCATGGATAGTGCCTTGTGGCTTAGTCCTCACATGGTAGAAAGTGCTGGGGAGCTCCCTTGAGCCTCTTTTATTTTTCTAAGGTACTAATCCCATTCACTGGGGCTCTACCTTCGTAACCTAGTCACCTTCCAGAGGCCCTACTTCTTGGGGGTTAGGTTTCAATATATGAATTTTGATGGGACACAAACATTCAGATCCTAGTGCCCACCTTTTTCCACTCTTTTGTCCAGCCTCTCTGTGTGCTCCATCTCTTTTACTTCCTGTGTCTGTCTCTTCCTCTCTTATCTCTCTCTCTCGCTCTCTCTCTCTGTCACCTCCACTGCTCTGTTTTTTCCTCTTCCTGTGTTACTGTCTCTTTCCAGATCTCTCTTTCTTCATCTCCCTCTCTCCTGTCTGTCTGTCTGTATCACTCTCTCTTTCCTTGTCTCACACTTTTTCTCCCTCCTTTATTTTCTTGGTCCTAAATTCATGCCCTGACAACTGTAGGTGCTGCTTTGACACACTAGAAGACCCAAGACTCAAGGAGTTGCTTTTTCCTTGGGCCCCAACAGTATAAGTAAGATATTGATTGAATATTACATCTGCTGAATGATATTTCTTTTTGTCAAGAAAATTGGCAAGGCATTATGTTATCAAATGTTTTATGTGTTGAGGACATTTCAGACGTCAAAGCTTTACACCTTATAAATTATTTCATTATAAGTGTTCATTTGAAACGTGTAATGGCAAGAACAAGTATGACCATGCGGGGGAGACATAGGACCTATATATTGAATCATTTTACTTTGGAAAATATACTTCAAAACTCAAAACTCAAGTCAAAGCCAAAAGAACACATTGTACCGAATCATAAGTTTTAAAATATACTGTCACCATAATATTTATTTTTATGTTGTCATTACTGTTGGGAGGCTAAACACTTTGTGAGTAAGCTTTATTGATTTTAATAGCTAGTATAGCTGTGTTTTTCTGTAAACGTGCCCTGTGGTCAGCAATAATTTTCTTGATTCTCCTTCTTTAGCCAGAAGAAAATGTTTTTTAAATTATAAATCCAAGGAGCAGTAAGAGAGCATAACTATATTAGTGATTCCACATTTCTTTCAGCTTCTCTGACATCTAGGCCCAACGGCCAACTCCAAGAATACTAAAGGGTGACATATTTCTACTGTATTTCAATAAAATAAGTAATGCTTGCTATAAGAGTCTCAAACTGCTATTAGAACCAAATGACCTTTTGATATCACATGTTAACTCTTTTTTAGAACTCTTTAAAATGATTTGAGGCTGAAAAGTTTCCTGAATTATAATGATTGATTTTTTTTTCCATGTGACTCTGTGTCATTGGCCCCATTTTTTTGTTGTTGTTCTTTTTTTTATTTTAAAGATGTGGAGTACAGTTCAAGGTTAGGTATACAAATGTTCGTTATGCAGGTACCCTTGTTGATGAGGTGTGCCCCCCGCCCCGCAGTTTCCCAGTGCTTCCAATCCCTTTCGTATAGTATTATAATTGTTCAAGTTAGGTTTGAGTGAGAACATATGGTACTCTGTTCTTTGTTTCTGTGATAGATCACTGAGTATGACAGACTCTAAATCCATCCAAATTGCTGCGAAGTCCATATGTTTGTCCTTCTTTAGGGCTGCATAATATTCCATTGTGTTTATGTACCACATTTTTTAATCCAGTCCAACTTTGATGGGCAGCATGGTTGGTTCCATGTTTTTAATATTGTGAATAGAGTCGCAACAAACAATCTTTTTTGTAGAATGATTTGAGTTCCTCTGGGTATAATCCCAATAAGGGGATTGCTGGGTCATGTGGAAGGTCAATTTCTAGTTCTTTCAGAAACCGCCACGCTGTCTTCCAAAGAGGTTGCATTAGTTTGGATTCCCACCAGCAGTGTAGAAGCATTCCTTTTTCTCTGCATCCTTGCCAGCATCTGTTGTTGTTTTATTAATGATGGCCACTCCTACTGAGGTTAAGTGGTATCTCAATGTGGTTTTGATTTGCATCTCTCTGATGATGAGTGAAGCTGAGCACTTTTTCATGTGTCTGTTGGCTGCCCATATATCTTCTTTTGAGAAGTATCTCTTCATGTCTTTTGCCACTTTTTAATGGGCTGTTTGTTTTTTTCCTTTCAGTGCGTTTGAGTTCCTTGTAGATCTTAGATGTTAGGGCTTTGTAAGATACACAGTTGGCAAATATTTTTTCCCATTCTGTGGGCTGTCTCCCTGTTCTCTTGATGGTTTCTTTTGCTTTGCAGAAGCTCATTGGTTTGATGAGGTCCCACTTGTCTATCTTATTTCTTATGGTATGGGCACTTAGAATTTTGATCAGGAATTGGTTTCCAGTTCCAATTTCCATAAGGGCGTCTCCTGCATTTTCTAAGATTCTTATAGTTTGAGGTTTTACGTTTAGTTCTCTGATCCATTTAGAGTTAATTTTTGTGTATGGTGATAGGTAGGGGGTTCTGTTTTAATCTTCTGCATGTGGTCAGCCAGTTTTCCCATCATCACTTACTGAATAGGTTCTTCTCTCCGCAGTGGTTATTGGAGGCTTTGTCAATAATGAGTTGGTTGAGAAATTGACATTGGCCCCATTTTGACTGTACTATTTAATTGTTTACCTTTAAGTTCTTCCCTTCTATCCCTAGAAGATTACCACAAGGTTGATGCATTCCCTTGCATGTACTTGTTTTTTCTCAGAATATTTCACCCTTTTCCTTCTCTGCACAGAAATATACTCAGGCTCCAATGAGGCCCAGGCTGTGTACAGAACTCTGCAGTGCCATAGATCGTCCTCACACTTAGAAAAAGGAGCCTCTTACATGGACTCCTGAATGGGGTTCCTGAGGGCAAGGGGTCAGAGAAAAAAAGAGAGTACAGGGTCAGGTAAGGACCTCTCATCCCAGGGCCTAGAGCCATAAGCATACAGAAAGAAGACACTTCCTTATTTTAAGATAGGTAGGAAAAAGTACCTTGCAAATGAAGAGGAATTGATAGTTGAGGTGATACCCATTAATGTAATTCCCAGGCATTCACAACATAATTAGATGATGACTTTAGCTAATATGAAATATTCAGATACATTATACTATATAGTAGACTTGTAAATGTCAAGCAAATGTGAGTCATTTCACAAATTGGAAGGTGGACATAGTATTAAACTCTAACAAAGATGGTAATTTTAGTCCTCTGTTGCTCTTGCCAACTTACTCTTTCTTTTTTAAACTTCAGAGAAAGAATTTTTTACTTTCCTTGGAAGTTATATAGTAGGTTCTTACCTAGCAATATAATATTACTCAATAATACATTGTAATTCTAAGTGATTCTATGATATACATGCCATGATTTACAATTTGTGTTTTTATTAAATGCACACGGGGCCAGTCTTTCTGTTTTGCACATCTGCATGGATGCTACAGTGTACAGCAGTTCTGCATTTAGAAAGCCATAAGATATGGCACTATTTTATAGGATATGCCCTAGGATGAGTAAAAATAGGTACTAACTAATAACATTTTTGTGAGCTTAGTATTTGGGTTTCTATAATCTAGTTCTTGTAACGTGCAATCAATAGAATTTTAAAGTAAAGTGTAAAGTGTTTTATAAGTGTTGCCTTAGATGTTATCAAACATTTTATGAGTGTTCATTTAGTACCCTTTATATATAACAGTACTGTTAATTCAATGAAATTAATTTTCATGGGTGTTATTTACTACCCTTTAAACAAAAAGTACTATTCATTCAATGAAGTTAAAGAACATGAATTATTCATGAGAAAGTTGGCACACTTTACCCAAATCTGTACTGTCAAATAACAAATAACCTGAGAATATTCCATAGTAAACATGAAACTATTGCATTCACGCTGGAGAATATTCTTTTAATCAAAATGTTATTTTCATTTTTCTTTGGGTAATACATTTTTAAGATTTATTTAGTTCCAATAGGCCTTTAGTATTTATTTTTATTTTAAATTTGCATTAATATAGAGAGTACCCTATAAGAAAGCCAGAAATACCATTTGAGAGCACTGAATCCTAACCAGTAGACCACCAGGGAGACACAATATTATAACATTTGAAAAAGATGCCCCTTTGTATCCTAAAATGTCAACTATAAGGCTAAGCAAACCCTCTTTTCTCAATCTGTAATCAGATATGTGTGTTGACTAGGAGAAAACATACCCTTGGTGGTCTGAAGACTCCTGATAGAGATACTAAAATGGTGAACATCACAAGTAGCGTGAAGATAAAGTACTACTTCCAAGGCTTTCAGTGAATTCATCCTCATGTTCATATCTGTAATGCAAAGACTCACTGATGTCAGATTTCACTGAAATCTTTTTGCGTTCATTAACCATTTTAATTTCTTCCCTCCTTTTACTTTATGTTTTGATGATGTGTTACTTTGTTTTCTTTTGATTTTTGCAGATGAGCCATGTTTGGGAGACAAATCCATATTCTGTCAAATGGAGGTGCTGGCCCGATACTGCTCCATACCTGGTTATAACAAGTTATGTTGTGAGTCATGTAGCAAGCGCAGTAGCACTCTGCCACCACCATACCTTCTAGAAGCTGCTGAAACTCATGAGGATGTTATCTTTAACCCTAGTGACCTCCCTGGATCTCTAGTGATGCCTACATCTTTGGTTCCTTATCATTCAGAGACCGATGCTGAGAAGAAATCTTTGGGTAGCATCTCTGCTTTGGGAGGTCCAAACACATACGCTGCTTTCAGGCCAAACAGTAAACCTGATGGTGCTAACTTACTCCAGAGGAGGGCGCAGCAGGTAGGAAGTAAGATGGTGAGACTGGTCTCAGTACCGTCATCCACGCCCACCAAGAATGGCCACCTCCATTCAGCTTCACCTGTGTCTGCTGCTTCCTTCCTTGCAACCCATGATGCAACAGGTGCTTCTTCTCAGGCAAGAACCTCAAAGAAAGATGAAAAGAGTATTGACAAGAGACGTCCGATAAGATCATCCATCTTAGAAAGATGAGAAACATGAACCAAAAAAGACTGGAAATCAGAGGGAAACCTGGACAACATCCCTCTCCCCATGGTGCATATGCTTGTTTAAAGTGAAATTTCCATAGATCATCAACCCATTTTAGCTGTAAGTGGAAGGACAAAAAGTGCTGGTTCACTTTCTAGTTGCTTTCATCCTTCTTTTGTTCCGCATTGGCTAATTTACCAGAATTCATTGGAAGAAAGCACCAAAGATTATTAACAGAAGAAAAATACATTGCTAAGTGTTGGTCACTCTCTGAAGCAGAAAAGGGACTGGAACCAATTATGCACATCAGCTGATTTTTTTGTTTGTTTTAAAAAAGTACAGTAAAAATAAAAAAGAGATACCAATGGTTTACACTTTAACATGAAATTTTGAAAAAGGAGCAAAGAATTTTTAGACTTGTATTCTTATTTATCTATATTAGAAATATTATATGAGCAAATTTGCAGCTGTTGTGTAAATACTGTATATTGCAGAAATCAGTATTATTTTAAGAGATGTGTTCTCTAATGATTGTTTACTATATTACATTTCTGGATGTTCTAGGTGCCTGTCATTGAGTATTGCCTTATTTGACATTCTATAGGTTGATTTTCAAAGCAGAATATTACAAAGGAGAAGTTAGAATACAGCTACTGATGATACAGAAGGTTTTATTGTATGGTTTTGTTGAATCAACAATGTGAAATCTAAATTACAGAAAAAGAAAAACTACAGACATACAGATCTTAGCTTACTTATTGCCTTCTATTCTTATAATTAAAAGGAACATGACTGATGTTTTAGTATACTTATGGTCACAGGGAACAGTAAATGAGCCTGTGCAAGATAAGAGTAAAAGTCTTATCAAGACCTCAGTAGGTGCCATTGAGGTGTCCTATGTTTTTGTGTTTTTGTCTTTATTTTCCTGTTGCTGATATATACAAACAGCTATGCTCAATGTACTGTAATAATCACAAAGGAAATTATTTTGAGATAACTTGTTTGTATGTTGTTAGCTGAGCAAAGTATTACCAATCTAGAATTGACATTCAAAGATAGTAAGGCTTCAGGGCTTTGGAAGCAAGTTCAAAAAAGTATTTATCAAGGTTGAGGTATTTATTTTCTGCATGGTTCATATTCAAATGTTCACAACCACAATGCATCTGACTGCAATAATGTGCTAGTAATTTATGTCAGTGATCACCTTGCTCACAACCAAGCCAGAAATGCTCTCTCCAGGGAGTAGATGTAAAGTACTTGTATATAGAATTCAGAACCGAAGATATTTATTAAAAGTTGTTTTTTTTCATTATAGTATTTTTATGTACTAAATACTTAACACTAATAGCAATGACATATTTTGGTAAACTAGAGAGACAGACATGATTAGAGATGCATGCTTTGTTCTGTGCATAGAGGAAAAATTTATTCAAACTACCACAGCCAACTTGGAAAGCTAAAATTGAACAAATCTGATGTTATGTGAACATTTTATATTTTTTAAGTAGTTGATATTAAATTGGTGACTTGTTCCCCTACAAGGAAACATTAAACTGTAAGAACTCAGCTAGTTGTTTAATAAAATAGTGAATTAGAACCATTTAAAAAAAGTTTGTGAGAGAAATAACTTTGTAAATTACACTTAGAAAAGAAAGATGAGTGTTATAAGCATAATGTTTTTGAAGTCAGTATCTGAGCTATCTAAAAATATATTATGCAAACTTATATGTAAATATGTTGACCTCCCAAAGTGCAGGAAGTCCAAGAACTTTTGCGTTTTAACCATTGTAAACTAACAGCTTAACCTATTGATTCTATACCTCTAAAGAATCGCTGCTACTTTGTGCAAGAATTTTTGAAGGTCAAATGAATTAAGTGATTCCAGATAGTAAAACAATCCCAGAGTCTTAAGTCTTTTTTTTTCCCCTAAAATTTTTCCTTTAATGAAATTCTCTCTAGTTTACTTGCGTGTGCATACATCTGGTCCACAAGGGAATATGGAGAAAGATGGTCTCACACATACACCTCCCATAAAGATGTACATATTCATTATCTTTCTGACCCTCAAGCTTTCTTTTCTACTAAGCTAAAAATTCCTTTTTATCAAAGTGTACACTACTGATGCTGTTTGTTGTATTGGGAGCACATAGCAATAAAAATGTTAAGAAAATATAGATCTGATTCTCTCTGAATTGTATCATTAGATTCATCACAGCATTAATAGAATGTGTTCTTTCATTCTAGGAAGTAAATTGGCATCAAATTCTTTTGCTACTTGTGCCTTTTTGAAAGACTAAAGTTAAGTGACAATGTCTCCTGTTTTCATACTAGGGTATATCATAATTTTTTAAAAAATCAAAGAAAGGCCAGGCATAGTGTCTCACACCTGCAATTCCAACATTTTGGAAAGCTGAGACCAAAGGATCACTTGAGTCCAGGAGTTCAAGACCAGCCTGGGCAACATTGCTAGACCTTTCTACAAAACAAATCAAACAAATTAGCCAAGCATGGTGGTGTATACCTGTAGTCCCAGCTACTTGGCAGGCTGAGGTGGGAAGATTGCCTGAGCCGAGGAGGTCAAGGCTGCGGTGAGCTGTGATTGTGCCATTGCACCCCATTCTAGGTGACAGAATGAGAACTTGACTCAAAATGTATATATTATATACATGTTATTTACAGGTATGTATATGTTTGACTCCAAATATATACATTATACACACATTTACATATATGTGTCTATACATACATATTTACATAAATATGTTTATATATACATAATAAAGTAAAAACAAAATAAATTGTGGTAGGTGACTTTCTGCTAAAGTCTGTCCCATAGAATCATGAAAAAGATGAGGAAAGTTTGCCATAATGCTAATATTTCTGAGAAGAGAGGTGCTTCTGTTTTTAAAACAGACAATCTCAGAATGATTTTTAAATAAAAGCTGACTGCAAGTCTTGAACCCTGATTACTTGAGGATTGAGGGAAACCTGACTCAGGAGTCTGGGGTGGAAGGAACATCACAGTGGAAGGCTTTTGCTATGTCATAGTGCAGTGGTTTCCAGTCTGAACTATGGTGGCGGGCTCTGTTTTGATCTCTACCTGTCACTTCATACCTGAATGGCCTTGCACATCCTCACTCAGTTTCAGTTTCCTCATCTGTACATGGGAGCCAAAATCATTACACAACATTGCATGATTGCTAGAAGAGATGAGATCACATAGGTAAAGCTGCTAGCACAGGGCCTAACACATAATAGCTCGCAATAAATATTAAGTATTAATGTTAAGTCTTTGTCCTTGTCCTCATCTTGTTAGACAACTAAACTACAGCTTTCCTCTTGGATCCACACCTAGTTTGAATCATGGTCACTATATGCCATTGAGGATGGTAAACAACAGGATTTCAGGAATCTAAAGAAAAAATTTAGCTTAAAAATAGATAGGATAAACTCATTAAAAATAATCTCCAGTCATTGATTTTGAAGAATTTTAGTTAATTATGCCTACTTTCCTTTTGCAAGTAATAGTCAAACTAGGGGGCTTGATATTAATTATATATTTCTGCACAGGTGGTCAACGGAACAATAATATCCCAAACTGTTAGCAAATTGTTTCTCGTCTATTTACATTACTGTACTTTGCAGAAATATCAGCAAGTCATTCCTCCATACATATCTTAGATTTTCCTTATGAAGAAGCTGCTTAAATGTAGTTTATGAAAGAAAAAAAAGTCAATTGAAAAGTGATAAAAACATGAATAAGCCAAAGAAGACATCATTTGTTAAAGAAGTATTAAACAACGAAAAAGTAACTGTTAAAGCTACTTAAAATGCAGTAAAATATAAAAACCACCCTAGAGTACACAGACATTATCTCAACACATCAACCAATATTTGGAACATTCACCTTGGGCCCAAATACTTTTGGATTATTCACTTAAAGCCCGAGACAAAATTTTAAAGTTCATTACAATACCACCTACTAAGCAAAGAACGTACAATCTACTAAAATGAATTTAACATCAAAAACAAATTTTGAAAGAAAACGAGGTGCTATAACTTCTGTAAAATCATCACAGAATTGCCTAAAAATGAGAATTACCTCCAAAATCCCCCCATCTTGCTCAATGGCAGGTGCATAAAAAGTTAATCTCCTTTGTGGATAAACTGTTGTTACTACATTAAAACTGTGTCTTGGAAAGGTTGCCGTTATTCAGTTAATTCATAGTAGCAAGCAAATGGTTGATTTATCCAATTCACTTTCAACCACTGGGTTGATAACAACTCATCTGGGACTAAGTAGTGTTGTTTTTTTTGTTTTCAAACCTATGAAAATTCCCGAAGTAGTCTGATGACAGAGAAGAGTACAATTATGCACAGCCAAGTGCTGCCCTTACGCTTATTACCCTTTTCTGTAAGGTCTCTACAGAAGAGGAAAACAAAATAACAAAGCTCTTTCACAATCTGCTATTGAATAAATAAGTGGTGATAAAACTACAAATACATCCACACAAAGAACAATTCTGCCGTATGAATATTTGGGAGACTCACAAGAAGAGATTCCCACAAGTAGTTCAAGAGGGAAAACATACTTCTCACAGTGCAAGATATAAGGGCAGTAGGTCTGCTTCCTAATGCTATGTCAAACTGATAGAGTATTAAACTTCTCAAGAAGTTATGGTGCCCTGGTTAAGAATGTGGACACCAGTCAGAATTCTGATTGACATCTTAGTTCTAAAGTCAACTAATTGTGACTTGGAGGCTCACAATTAGTTGACTTTAGAATATGCCTAAGCCTCACTTCTTTTATCTGTAATGTGAGTGTGATAATAGTACATAATTCGTGGGGCTGTTTAAGCAAAAAAATGGATAATTCAAGAAAAGCAATGAACACAGTGCCTGGAAGACATTAAGTGCTCCATGAAGGTTTCTAATTGTTATTTTCTCCAGAAAATTGATTTTTAAAAATATTTATCTTTTTATGGGTGATTGACAGACCCCAAAACACTCAATTTGAATACTTCAAACCAAGGTCACAATTTTCACAAAGTCCCATCTGCCCAAAGTATCCTGTGTACACAAAATAATGTGAAACGCACAAATAGAAGTAGAGAATTGTATGAAATATATATATATATATAAATCAACAGTTCATAGTAGGCATAACCTTGTAGGGATAGCTCAGGCATAGAGCCTTTGCATAGTAGGAATAACCAGGCAAGTGACTCCAAACATTAAAGCAACTGCTTTTCTATGAACTTGCTGCCACCATAATTCTCTCCCATGGATGACATACTTTCCCTGTAGCCCAGACAAGGGGCTTTGGCTATTACTTGCCAAGGAAAGCAGGATTTTAGTTGTAATTGAACGATACATTTTGTCCCTGGGCAAACAAAAATTTTCTATTTCTTTTGTATTCTTCATTATTACCTAGCATTCATCTTTTCTCATTGTACAAACTTCACAATACATATTACATTCTGTAGGACTCTGATGCAGAACACAGAGCTCCTAGACTTATGACTGTGGTCTCCTTTCTGTTTTTAGCTTTTCCCTCCCTCCCTCTCGTCCTCCTTCCCTCCCTTTTTCCCTTCCTCCCTCCCTCCCTCTCTCTCTCACCTTATTTGACAGAAATAGGAACTAACTGATGTTGAACCAGAAAGAATCTTCAGATATTATCTGGCACTCCTCATTTTGCAGGGATAAGATTAAGATACAAGGGTGACTTTTCCACAACCTCATCTCTGAATTTGAATACGACTGGGACTACAACCAAGATTAGTATTCTAACTCTTAGTTCAGTCCTTCTTCCATGGCCACAATAGATCTATTCTGTAAAAATAAGGGATTCCAGTGAAAGAGAAGTTCATTATCCCTGGATCAGCAAGTATCTAAACAAGAGAGTCAGCGTGTCCATTTTGAGAAAGAAAATCTGAAGTTCTATTTGGAACTTTGCACTTTCAGAGGAACCTAATGAAACCCACCACACTACCCAGGAATGTGTCTAGCCCTGTGCTTGGGACATCTTCATTTGTGTCTATTGGCAACTGGAATGAGTCACATTTATCTAGGCTTTTCAGAAGCTCTGTCCAAAATGATGTAATATTCTCATTCCTTTTTTGGGTTTTAATAGCCTTAGTTTTATATCTCAGATGTAGCACGATGCTTGAAGACGGCAACATAGCCTCTGGTATGCTTTGATATCTATATTGTTTCCAACATGGTGCTCCAGTTGTCAGAAGAAGAAGCCACTCTGGTTTCATCTACCTTTGCTTTGGATTTTCAAGATTGTTAGAAATGTTCTTGAATGATGGGGGTGATCTAGATAAATAGCATCATTGGCCCCATAGCAAGTTCTGTGATTTTTTTGACCACATAGCGAGTTCTATGATTTTTTTACCCTCCATCTTTGTCCTTCTGACTTGAATGTTAGCTTGTTTTTCTACACAGATTCCTCAAACTTAAAGTCATTATACAAGGAAGGATCAAACTCCTGCTTGACTCTGCTTCTGCCTCATTACCTACCTCCTGATCTCTTTCTTCACCACCACTCTTCTCAGGGGAATGCCCTAGTTGACCGCCCCTCCCCCTTCCCAGGCCTACCAGCATTCACTCTGGAGCATGCTGCAGCCTGCATTCTGCCCAGGCTCATAACAGAAGGTCATTCCCAATGGTTGTTCTTCAGCCAGAATTCTTCTTGAATTCAGCAATTTTTTATTAAACTCTGATTATGCACCAGGCACCGGTCTAGGTACTGAAAGTACAGTAATGGGCAAAACAGTGAAAATTACTGCCATCCTCCTGAGCTTACATTGTAGTGGAAGAATCATGCATGGGTTTGTTATAAAATATGCTAAATGGTGATGCTGAATGGCATATTGTCATATTAAAAGTAGGGTAGTGGTGGTAGGACTCAGAAGATGACAAAATAGAAGAAATTGGCAGAAAATGAGAGTTATCTATGCAATTTCTGGAGGGAATAAAATCCCTTCTAGAAAAATCATCCAATACAAAGGCCCTAAGGCAGAATAATGTCTGGCAAATTTAAGGAATGGCAATGAAGTCAGTGAGGAGGAGATGAGTGTTTAATGGGATGGATTGTAGAAAACGATATCAGAGAGGTAAGAGGTGAGTGAAAATCACATAGCATTTTTGGGTCAGAATGAACTTTACT